GGAGTTGGAGATGCCGCTGCTGAGACTGGAGAGTGCCACTAAGAGATGGGGCCTTACCATCAGCCCCACCAAAACTAAGCACCTGCCTGGGTATTTTGTACCATCGGACACTCCACCCCCACAACTCCCAATCAGTGATGGGACAGTTGTGGAGAGAGTGGAGAGTTTCCCATACCTGGGCAGTGTGCTTATGACCGGCTCCAGTTTAACAGCAGAGGCTTCACTCCGAATCAGTCGAGCGGCAATATTTTTTTTATCGGTTGCGTAATGCTGTGTGGAAGCTACCTGGTCTATCGCTCTGCACTAAGCTTCAGGTCTTCACGGCCACGGTCATTCCCTCCCTTCTCTACGCTTGCGAAACGTGGACCCCCTAATGGAACATCTTCGCCTGTTAGAAACATTTAGGTTAGCCTGCCTACGATCCATCCTGGGTTAAACCAGGCTGGATTGTGTGAGGAGCTCACAAATCTTTGAAATATCTGGGCAAGGGTCCATCGGTGAGCTCCTCCGGCAGGCAAGGCTGCGTTGGCTGGGTCATGTTGCCCGCATGCCCAGCCACCGCATGCCGGAAGAGCTTTTGTTCGGCTGGATCGAGGGGGCTAAATGGGCGCGGCACGGACTGGTACCAGTGGTGTCAAGATCGACCTCTGTGGAGGAGGCTCGTGAAGGACGCTACTGGGCAGTTGGAGGCAGTCGCCCTCCAACAACAACGGAGGGCGGAGGAGCGACGCTCACAACAATGAGCGGAGCGCCGGGTGGCTAAAGCACAGCAGGTTGGCACGGTAGGGGGCACAGGTGGTGCATCAGCCAGTCATCTTAGTCGACCCATGGCACCTTGTCTGCCCCGTGACCTCCTGTCAGCGGGCGTTCGACACTTCACGTGGCCTCAAGGTGCACATGGCCTGGCACAAGCGTCGTGGTGACGTCACCGCCACTTAGTGGCGAATGGCGGTTGTTGTTGTGAGTTGCTGTGTGTGTGTGGGTAAGTCGATGTGTTTGTGTATGGGTCAATGTCTAAGTCTGTAAGTCGATGAGTGTCTGTCTTTTTCACCTGGGCAACGCCGGGTACTTCCCGCTAGTCTTACGTATGAACGTCATTTTTTGTCTGTCTGTGGACGCACACTTGCGAAGGAATTGGCTTGCAAACCGTCGGGTTTACGTTTTAAAGAAGTAGCCGGGTACCACGCCGTAAGCCCCGTGGTGAGCCAGCGCTATTCCGTTTTCCCATCGGTCAACTTTAAAGTAGTTAAATAAAAATGTAGTGGCATTTATGATTATTATTTAATTACTCTGGTTCTTTCGGTAAAGTCACGTAAGTAGAAAAAATAATAATATATCACGACTTTTTGATTGCAACACAAGTGGTCGTCCTCGGGCGGAAAAAATAATCCAGCAGTGGAACTGCTGAACCAGCGAGAGAGCTGTTACAACAAGAGGTTATTTATGTGGCGATGGGCAAGCAAGCGGGGTCTGAGCTGGAAAGGAATTCCATCCCCGGACGCAAGCACGTCAGTTGTGTTAATGGGGGAGATTAGGGAAAGAGAGATTAGGGAGAGATTAGCATGAAATGAGCTTCCGTCGCCGCATAAAGAGTATCATCCCCGCATATGCGCACAACAGCAGTGTTAATGGGAGATTAGCACTGTGTTGATGGGAGAGATTCGGCAGGGAGATTAGGTGGATTAGTAAGTTAATGTCACGTCTATGTGTAACACAAGCTGCGGCGCTGCCAGCGGCGCTGCCAACTGCGCTTTGAGGCAAGCGCGTCCACGCAAGAGAACCACCGCAATGGTGGTCGCGCCAGTGAGACACAACCCCATCACACAGCCAGAACCATCGATACATCGGCTAAGGGAGCAGAGGTGGCCATGTTCGTCAGACCCCAGCCCATTAATGCAGAGGCACCTAACAGGGCAATGTAACTCAGAGTCGGAGATAACAGCCAAACGGCATTTTTCATTATTTCCTCGCGCCGCTAAAGCTGCCTGGAGGTTGCCCCTAGCAACATACGTGTCATCGGTGGATGGGGGGGGGGGGGATTTCTCATTCGCATTAAAAATGGAAATAAGAAAACACACAACGCTGAGGTAAATTCATCAAAGTGTCATGTCATAGCACTTGGATACTATTATTGTAGCGCGGGCGAGGGGATGGTGGGGGGCGGGGGTTGCGGCCCAGCCCTCAGCCGGCCAAGGTACCACCGGGGCCAGCTGGGCAATCTAGGCGAGGACGGGGGCTATGCACGGGACTAGGCCTCACCACGCCACTGTCAGGTGAGTACTTTGTGCTGTAGAGTCTATATACTGCTATAGAGTCGGCATGTACTACTGTAGTGATAGCAGGTACCACCACAGACAGTATGTACTGCTGTGTTATCATAGCAGGTACCACTACAGTATGCACTGATGTAGTGAAAGCAGGGACCACCACAGTCATATGCACTGATGTAGTGAAAGCAGGGACCACCACAGTCATATGCACTGCTGTAGTGAAAACAGGAACCACCACAGTATGCACTGCTGTTATAGCAGGTACCACCACAGTATGCACTGCTGTAATCATAACAGTTACACCACAGTCAGTATGCACTGCTATCGTGAAAGCAGGAACCACCACAGTATGCTCTGCTGTAATCATAGCAGATACCACCACAGCCAGTATGCACTGCTGTATTCATAGCAGGATACCACCACAGTCAGTCGGCACTACTGTAGTGAAAGCAGGTACCACCACAGTCGCTATGCATTGCTGTAGTGATAGCAGATACAACCACGGTCAGTATGCACTGCTATAATCATAGTAGGTAACACCACAGCAGTATGCTCTGCTGTAATCATAGCAGGTACCACCACAGCAGTATGTTCTGCTGTAATCATAGCAGGTACCACCACAGCAGTATGCTCTGCTTTAATCATAGCAGATACCACCACAGTCAGTATGCACTGCTGTAGTCATAGCAGGATACCACCACAGTCAGTCGGCACTGCTGTAGTGAAAGCAGGTACCACCACAGTCGCTATGCACTGCTGTAGTGATAGCAGGTACCACCACAGTCGGTATGCACTGCTTTAATCATAGCAGATACCACCACAGTCAGTATGCACTGCTGTAGTCATAGCAGGATACCACCACAGTCAGTCGGCACTGCTGTAGTGAAAGCAGGTACCACCACAGTCGCTATGCACTGCTGTAGTGATAGCAGGTACCACCACAGTCGGTATGCACTGCTGTCGGGATGCAGGACCACCACAGTCGGTATGCACTGCTGTGGTGAAAGCAGGTACCACCACAGCCAGTATGCACTGCTGTGGTGAAAGCAGGTACCACCACAGCCAGTATGCACTGCTGTAGTTACAGCAGGTACCACCAAAGTCGGTATGCACTGATGTAGTGATAGCAGGTAACCACAATCGATATGCACTGCTGTAATAATCGTTGATACTGCTATCGAATTGGTAGATACTACTATAGAGTTAGTAGATACTAAAACAGTCAGTATATACCACTACGGTCAGTCTATACTGCTGCAGTCAATAGATACTACTATACAGTCAGTAGATACTACTACGGTCAGTAACAACTGCTATAGAGTCAGCAGCTACTACTATACAGTCAGTAGATACTACTACGGTCAGTAACAACTGCTATAGAGTCAGCAGCTACTACTATAGAGTTAGCAGTTACTACTATAGAGTTAGCAGTTACTACTATACAGTCGGTATATACTACTGTAGGAACAGTAGATACTTCTACGGTCAGTAGATACTACTTACTCTGTTGTATGTGGGATGTGTAGGTATATAAACCTACGTGGGGGTAAATATATTTTCTGAGGGGGGGTCGACAATTTTTGCAAACCTTTTAGATCAACTATTTACCCCCCACTTTCTATAACTTTTTTGACTTCTGCAATCCTCTTATAATTTTGTTGGTGGATAAATGGACAAACGGCCCTCCGGCCTTTCACAATTGCTTGGTATCTGTGTATGTATATGTGTAATGTTTTTAAGAGAAGTTTTGAAATATATATTTTGCCCAGGCAACGCCGGGTACTTCCCACTAGATTTTTTTTTATATACCATTTCTCATCATTTACGTTCCATCGGGAAAATGTTTTTCTATCATGAAGTGGATATTAGATATTCACAATTATTATTGTTTGGATTTTTCGGTACGTCACGTAGAGCAATATTTTTTACAAAAAATTGCGATGTTTCGTTTGCAACACACACAATCGTCATCAAGAGAAAATTCACACTTGTTTCCTATAATATGCAGGGTAAATATTGTTTGAGTTATCTCAACCTGGTTTCATCTTAGTAACTCGGAATCAAAATGTATATTTATACTGGGGTAATCTGCGGTGCTATGAAGCACTTTTTCACAGATGTCCAGTATTCCTCCTGGGCACTGGCCCCATTCAATTCCTTGGCTGCTGATGCATCGTCTATCGCCTCTCCTTGCGGCGTGTACTGCCCAAGCCACTCGCGTTTCTTAACAGTTTGGACAATGTCATTAACCTGCATGTGTTCTCTAGGGTGCCACCGTGGTGTGTTAACTACCTTACCTGGTATACAGGAGGTCATGGGTTCAACCCCAACCCTGACGCCTGCTTTATTTTTGAGTTTGCCTGTCTCTTTCTGTGGTCGCGTGGATTTTTCTCGGTCCTCCGGTTTTTCCCTCCACAATTAGAAACATGCGGTTACAGTTTGGCTGCTATAAATGTCCACGTTTTTGATAAGCCACTTCGTTGAGCGATCATTTGTGGCCAGATCACTTCTGAAAGCAGCTGTAGAGCTCAGTCGGCATTACCTGGTAAGATAAAACTAGTAAAACAAATATAGTATTTTTACATCAAAACCAGTACTGTTCAGTAAGCGCGTGCGTTGTATATGTAACGATGGCTGATCAGTGTTTTACGTAGCATTTTAGCGGCCACTTTTGAGATCGTAACAAAGTGGCTTTGTTTATTCATTTTTCTTGTTTTTCTTGTTTTTCAGTTACATATTCCGGTTGAGCTGTACACGGCTTGGCCAGTGGGCAATCGGCTACGTGACAGCTGATGGAAACATTCTCCAAACAATACCACACAACAAACCACTTTTCCAAGCCCTCATTGACGGTTACCGCGAAGGCTTGTAAGTAAACACACGTCCCAGTGCCGCGCGCGTCCCAGCACCCGAGCATTAAAAAATATATTAAAAATTAAATTTTCACCTTGAGACTTGTGATGGTGGATAAAGCTCCAGGTAGTTCGTAAAGCCACGACACGATACACTTGGGCATCCAGAGAAAATCGTGTTGCCTTACTGTTTGCTTTTTATTCTATTGCCTTTGTTGCAACCCTTGTTTAACTGTCCAGGGGTTGCGGTTCGTTCTGCAACTTACTCAGCTGGGATCACGCACAGCAGCAACATTGCCCCCTACTCTGATTACTTGGCAGGACCCTCCTGAAAAAGAGTTGAAATTCAGCGAGGCCTTCCTTTGTAAATATTAATAATAATGACGTTTTCTTGTTACCCCACACGTCTGTACACCCAGCAGTATAAATGGTTATACCACAGTCCATTAGATCGCGTGCGATGGGATAAAGTGTGGGTACTCCGACCTGTTGCAAAGCTATTGGCCAGGTGTGGAAGAAAAGGCCAAATACCATCTAGAGGGGTTCTAGATCTCCCGTTCCTGAAGAACACCACGTTATGGGACAAATGGCATTGTAATATGCAGGCTGAACAAAGGCTGAGGCACGCGGGTAGCATCTAGAAGCATCCAGCAGCATCCCACCTTGTGTGATGCTACGCCGTATCGGCCATACAACTGCGTATTCCTACTCGTGCGACTTAGTTCTGTTTACTCGATTGCTTTATCGCCAATTCGCATCCGCATTATAAAAAAATGTGTTCCCAATACATTCATCATTATATCCAACACGTGGCGTTATAGGAGAGCAGACTGTACAACCCATTTCCAAAGCCCGCTCACAGTTGCACCCGCGTACACGCACACCTGTGTGTGCATGGCTAATTGAAGCTTCACTCTGCCACGTAAATATATGTAATATACATGGTAGTTTTTTATATCGTTGAATGTGCTGGGTACTTGACATGACTTGGCATGATAGGTAGGGTAAGCAACTTGGAAGTTTGGAAAAGAGCGTGGGAGGAAAGTGTTGAGGTTGTGATGAGTGGAACACATGTACAGGATGGAAGAAGGCTTGTAAATAATGCAGGAGTTGTTAGTGTGCATCGATGACGTTTTCCACTCGACAAGGAGGAAAGTGAATTGACTGGTTGATATTTCTACGGTTGTTTATTTGGCTTTGCGGATTGGCGTTTATAAGTACGTCTTTGCTTGGTATGAAGCCAATGGCCGATTTAGCTGCACACTGTGGTGCCGTTGAACATTATTTGTGTGTGTGCTGCTTCTACTTCTGCTGCTGTGTCCCTGTACTGCAGTTACTTGTTTCCGGACGGCCGTAACCAAAACCCAGACCTGAGCGGCTTGTGCGAGCCTCTACCGCAAGACCATATCAAAGTCACCCAGGTGCGGAAAGGGACCACCGCTCCCACATCCCTTATCATACTTCTATCGTTTCTCAAAGAGTAATAAGGCATGAGCGAAAGTAGTTATACATACATGCGGTGGTTACCGTGCTCCTGTGAACTTCACCTATTGAATCCTGCACCCGTGATGAGGACTCTTTGACCAGACTGACACTGCACATCACAACCACTCATTCACATAGAATTAAACCTAACTCGTAGGTTTTCACAGCCAATAATTAGATTCACAATAGTTTATTTGGTTAAGCTACGTAACGATCTGGCTAAATCTGTGTTGCAAGACCCTTCACTACTCGACACGGTCAAACAAATTGCACTTTGTCACGTGTACGAGCATTTAACGCACCAGTTATTATACTCGCAATCAAACGTGGCAAGCGATTTACTACGTTACACATCTGAAATGTGGCCAACTCTTCAGCATAGCCCTGACATATAATTCCAGACGTCACTGGTTGCTAACCATGGTGCGTGTACGCGCGCGGGTCTGGGTTGTGCAGGAGCAGTACGAGTTGTACTGCGAGATGGGCTCCACGTTTCAGCTCTGCAAAATCTGTGCAGAGAACGACAAGGATGTGAAGATAGAGCCATGTGGCCACCTCATGTGCACGTCCTGCCTCACCGCGTGGCAGGTCCGTTGTTACACCTTGCTACCACAGCAAAAAGTCCTGGGTTCGATTCCCGACCTCGGGCGTCTTTCTGTGTGGAGACTGTATTCTCTCCCCACTTCCCCCCCCTTCCTGCCCCCCCCCCTTGTTCTGCATGGGTTACCTCCTGCCTCACTGGTTTTCTTCCGAAGCTTAAAAAAATATACAAAATGTAACGGGTATTGGCCAAACATCCCAGTGCTGAAAAAAATACTGGCAAGTTACCGAATTGGGATTGCACACAGCAGCAACATTGCCCCTTTGCTGTAAATGGTCTGTGTAACATCACACCTTCGTGAGGATAGCCTCTCGCTACGAGACTGATGTAAATATCAAATGTGTTCATTACTTGATTTGAAGTAAGAAAATTATTCGTTTACCTCACGATGTGTTTTCGAACATCACAACAGCAACAAAAACCCCTTTGACATCCATATCGAGTTGTCAAGGTTCACCCTCGGAGTGGAGAGATTTGACTGCCATGATGTTCGCGCTGTGCAGAATCCTCGCAACGGGTGCAGATTTTACCACTCGTGAGATTCTGTGTGGAGGTGATTCTATATCCAGCATCAAACTGAATAGAATGAAAAAGTGGGTGTCACGTGTGTTCAGGCAATCCTTGAAAGGGAGCTCCACAGTAGCGAGATGTTGCCTACTTCTGGTATACAGGAGGTCTTGGGTTCGATTCCGACCCTGATGACTGTTGTATATTTGGAGTTTGCATGTTTTCCGCATGGTCGTTTGGATTTTTCTCCGGATCATCTTGTTTTTCCCTCCACATTTATAATCAACATGCTTTAAAAGTGTTTGGCTGCTATAAATTTGCACATTCTGATAAGCCACTTCGTTGAGCTATCATTTGTGGCCAGGTCACCTCTGAAAAAGAGCTATACAGCTCAGTGCGCCTTACCTGTTGAAAAAAAAATACTTTAATAGTTTAGTTGATAGTTTAAGCTAAGAGGGGATGTCTTTGTTTCTTCTAAAATCTGTTTAGCTATTCAAGATCACAATGTGAAAAAACCTAAGCATTCTAAAGTGCCCCTCTCTCTACATTTGTATCTCGCTTCCATCTGTCTCCATCTCTCTCTAAGCTCCATCTCTGTTTCTCTCCATCTGTCTCCATCTTTTTTATTGTGTAAGGGGAATAATAGAATAATCTTAGGTTCAACACTTGGCAATGCAGAGTTTAGGTCTCTGGGACCCCATTTTGCTGGCTGTAGTCACATCTGGGTATCTTTTAGCGCCACTCCGATGGTTTCCACTTTTTTTGGGATCTGATCCAATTGGCCGGCAGCAGATTGATTGGGAGTGGATTACAATGATGTCATAGCAGGCAAAGTGATTTCCTGCTAAAATGAGCATTGAGGTGGTGTTCTATTTCTGTTTACAGGTCTGAACCAGTGGCGGAATTTTTTTTCACATTCCCATAACTGGTGCGATGCTATCCACAGAACAACCACTGTTAATTTCACCACAAAGTGGTACTCTTTTTATTGTCCCCAGAGGAATAATGGGCCGAGTCAACCCCCAACAACGATTTAAACTCGCAACCTTCCGATGGCAAGCCGCCTCTCTTCCGCTGAGCCATCTGGCCGGTTGTGTCATACTAATATTCTGTGGTATTGTTCTCGTCGATTTAAACCGAGAGCTTGGTTTAATTGCCCCCCCCCCCCCCCCTTCTGTTGTCGCCAAAGCAATGTGTATTTGCATGTCGGCACTTGCTGTGTGTTCACTCTACGCTTTTTTCCGCAGGAGTCGGATGGGCAGGGCTGCCCTTTCTGCCGGTGTGAGATCAAGGGCACAGAGCCCATCGTGGTTGACCCCTTTGACCCGCGGGAGTTCGGCCGCCGCTTGGCCATTGATCAGTTCGACTTCCGAGATGAGTGCCGGCGGTCAGACATGGACATCCTCTCCCCGACCTTTGAACTGGAGGATGACGACGAAAGGCTGGAGGAACCGCCAGTCTTCATCAATCGCTTGGCCTCCGTCAAGAAGGTGATGGTGCTGCTGCATGCCGCCAATTCACTATTCGCGCGTACGGCCACGTTAACTTGAATGCACCCGACCGACCCTTATTTGTCGAGATCTGGGGTGAATGTATGTATATTGAACTTCTCTCGCACCCTTACGTAGCCAATCGTGATACGTACGGTGCCCCCTAAAGACTGACCCCCAGAGGTTGCTCTAGTTATGGTGCGTGACGTCTGGGCGTGCGTGCCTACGCTTGACCCGTCCCCCCCCCCCCCCCTTCGGCTGTGAGCAGGTGGAGCACCCCGACTCGCCCGTCTCGTCTCCGCCCTCGTCGCCCAAGATGGGGCAGCGCAGGAAGCTGCCCCCGGACCCAATGATGGGGTTGCACCATGCAGCCCCCCTCCCCCCCGTGCCGCCCCGCCTCGACCTGGTCCAGAAGATGGTGTCGCCCTCGTCGCCAAACCTCAGCCCCAACTCCTCGCCGAAGGTAAGGCATCTTTTGCCGGAGTGCCATTCAGCGGAGCTCCAAACACCTGGAGAACAACGTTGCTACAACACACAAGTTTTATTGTGTTGCTATTCGAGGGCTCTAAAGAAGCATGGGGCAGAGTGGAGAACAACATTAGGGTTTTTTCTGCACTGCCCTCTCCTGCCCACAGTGCCAACTGCACCCTTCTATCAGGCACTATGGTGGGCACCCACCCAAGCGCTATCTAGGCTCAATCCGGCTTGAGCTTCCATGGTATTGACGAGAAGGTGGGGGGGGTGTTCGTATTAGAGGAAATGTTGCCATATCAACTGCAATGATGATTCTATAACCGCGCATCAAAATTAACGACTCCTTTCTTTCTCGCCGCAGATGAGCAGGAAACACGAGAAGCCGCTGCCTCCTCCGCCTCACCAGCGCGAGATGGGATCTCACCGCGACCTGCCGCCGCCACCCCCAGAGAGACCGCACGGCTCGTCGTCGCGCAAGCCGCTGCCCGTCACCCCCGAGAGCCCCCCGCCGCGAGACTACCCCATGCTGCCCGTCAACCTGCCCCGCCAAGCCGACCACTTCATGATGCCGCCCACCCGCCCGCTGCCCGTGCCGGGCACCGCAACCGATTCGGGAGTGCCGGCCGACGGTTGGATGGGCCGCGACCTCTCCAGGATGCTTCCCTTGCAGTTTGGGGCGGACTCCGGCCGCGACTTCTCCAGAGCCGCGTCCGGCCCGAGCGCTTCCGAATCGAACCACAGGCACCTGGCCCTCGCGGCCAGCCCGATGGACGCGGCCGGTCAGAACGCCGCGACCGTGAGCCATGTCGACAGTCACGCCGGTTGGGACTTCCAGAGGCACGCATTGTCGTCCGAAGGTGGTGGCGGAGTGACGATGATGATGCAGGGAGATTCACGACAGACGCGGCCGGTACCGGTCCCCGGCCTGTCGGAGCACGCCGCCGCCGTGAACAACCAGCACGTGCTGGCGAGTGGCGAGGCGAGGCATGGCCTGGAGCTGCTGCGGCTGCCCCCCGCTCACCAGCACGGCTCTGACAGATCGGGGTCCCGAAAACTGACCGAGAAAGCGAAGGTAAAGTTGCTGTTAAAATGTTTGCGGGGGAAAAAACTAAAATTACCGCTATCAAGCCCCCCCCCCTGCGTGAGAAGTTGGGCAGAGCCCAACCACCATCCCTTTCTTCTGCCCTGTGGACACCCGGCCTTGGGCTCGTCGTCCCATGATCATCTCTACCTCTCCCCCACTGTCGTTCGTGCTCTGTACCGGGCTCTTGCTTAATTAAAATAATAATTATATAAATAAAAACTTTCCGCCATGATATTTGGATCACAACCATGAGCATTGACAAATAAAATGGACCGAGCGCTGGAAAATACTTAAAAGCATGGAGAGGTGCAAGCTGGGAATTATCCTGAGAGACGGAAGAGGAACGGACAAGTGAATGTAAGCATTGAAAAAGAGCTGTGTATAGCTCACAGGGCTTCACTCGGGGGTGAAATAAACTTCAGAACTTCTCTATTGACTTAAGAACATGCCAAGTAGGCTTAGGGGAGGACCTGTTGCTAGGAAAGTGATGGGAGGTCAAAGCTAAATAAGATCTGGTGTACAAGCCATCGAACATTAAGAGATGTTAAGTTTGACCCAATGTAGAGATAACAGTGGTGAGTCCTATATGGGCAGTTCAATGAAAATCTTAAGGCCGAGTGATAGATGGAATCAAGCTTCTTCAGTACAGTACTTGGGGCTGATTTATACACGATGTCACAGTAGTCAAGTAGAGGCAGTATGGTAGCTTTTATCAATTCCAAACGGAACATTGGGGGGAAGCAGTGCTTGTGTCGATACAGAAAACCAATTTTTATTTTTGTCTTTTTACCAATATAATCAATGATCTTCAAAATTCAGTTTTGAATCCAGGATGACCCCAAGATACTTATAGATCTTGACTTGCTCTATTTGATAATTATTTAAGGAATATAATTGGGGAAAAATATCTTCCTGCTTTAGTCCTGGTGAGAAGCATAGCACCTTGGTTTTGGAGGTATTCAGGACTCGTTTAAGAGCAACTAGCTGATTTTGTTTGTTGAAATCACCCTGGAGCTTAGCAATCACGTCATCCAGAGAGTGGCCAGCAGTAATCAGTATCGTGTCATATGACAGTCTTGTCACTTCAGCAAATGAATATATTTTAAACTTTACAGGTCTATTTTTAAATACGGGATTTTGGTACTTGGCTTCAAAGTAAAATGAGGACTGGCGGTGATTTTAATTTGTTGGACATTAACCTCTTGTAATAGTAATAATAACAGTGTTTGCTCTCTTCAGAATGGAACGCCTAATGGAATGGCCGATGGAGACTCGCGACACAATTCCTGGAGACCTCCCTCGTCTCCTAAGTAAGCATTTCACTTCCCATCTATTGATTTCACGCGACCTCATGAAAAAGTGCCGCATAATGCTTGCCGCTGCACCGTCGTGCGGTGAAGCAATCTCTCGTCTGCCCTCCTAATGACCGCGCTGGCCCTTAAGATGCTTATCTATAGGCACAACAGATATACCAAGAAATACTCGCCACTATCCCCGTGTAACTTGCCAAGCGATTCCATGAGTTTCTCGGTACTCAATGAGACCTTGACAAGAAGTTGACGAGACTTCGAGTTGCTTTGAAATGCTTGTCAAATTTTCAACGAGGCGTCAGTGCGAGTGGTTTTTAGCTCGATGGTGCAACGCGGTTGCGAATCTGGCCGTGGTATGTCGAAGTAATGGAAAGTTTTTGCATCGTACAAAAAACAATAGCCGCCATTCGCCACTAAGTGGTAGTGACGTCACCATGATGTTTGTGCCAGACCAGGTACACTTTAAGGCCACGTGAAGTGTCGAAGGCTCGCTGACAGGAGATCACAGAATGGACCCAGGTGCTATGGGTTAACTGAGATGACTGGCTATTCCTTCTTACTGTGCCAACTTGCTATATTTTAGCAGCCCGGCGCTCCGCGACTGCCTCCAACTGCCCAGTAGCATCCTTCACGAGCCGCCTCCATAGCTGGAGTAAACAAATGCGTGCTTGCGCGTGGTTGTCCCGCATGTTCGTAAGTGGCGCTTATGCAAATGCCATAGGGTGGCACTAAATCGATGTTTTGGTTTTTAAGGCAGTGACACTGTCGGTATGGGCACTGCGTAGGTTCTTGTGGGTTGTGCTGTGCAGTTCCCAGTGTTTCCAGGTTGCCCCGTGTGTGGTTGTTCAGCTCAACGTCCCGACGTTCCTCGCCTGAAAAGCTTAACTTCCACTGAAACGTCAGATGTCATGTTGAACAACGCACGGTACAACCTGAAAACACATCGGGGTTGGGGTTCATGTTTATTTTTTAACATGTGCCCCTGCATATATATATGCAAGGCCCACTGAGCAATATAACTCTTTTTCAAAAGCGACCTGGCCAGAAATGATAGCTCAACAAAGTGGCTAATCGCGTGGAAATTTATAGCAGTCAAATTTATCGCAGCCAAATATTAAACGTGAATGCTTGTGTTTTTTCTCTCTCTCTCCCCCCCACTAAAGCCACATCACATCCGCTAAGAAACCTTTTCCACTGGAGAGACTGGACAGCTCTGACGACGAGGACGATGGGCAGATGCCAGCTCACACAGAGATGTCCGCTTCTGGATACATGACCAACAACGCTCCAGCCAGTCCACAACAGCATAACAACAGCAGGTGGTTCCTTGCTCCCAGTATCCACACGGTTGTCTGTTCATCAGAACCACCGCCCATGCCACAACGGATAAACATTCTCTTCTCACTTTAGATCTTATAAGTGTATTTATTGCCATTATTTTTCCCGCACCTATTTTAGCACGGTTGCCTATGTACGGTGCGAAAGAAATTCTGCATACATGCCTACATGATGTATGTAATTGAGAACATTATTTTTACAAAGTATCCATCTGTTGAGAAGTGGACACTTGAGCTAAAGATGTATCGTCAGATGTTCATATCTGCTGACTTGGAGGCAAGGGTGGTGAAATGAATCATGAATCGCCTAGAGATGGCTTTTGCGAGACCCTCGCAGAGGATCCATTGAGGCCACACGGAGAACAGGATTGTTCGGCGTGTTTGCGCACGACCTTGAGCGCTTTTCCCATCACGCCAATGAACGAGCGAAAGACACGTGTAGATGACGTGGTGTGACGCCGTGTTTAGAGTCGTTACCGAGTGACTGACCTGCATTGCACGGAATTAAAATGTGTTTGGGTTCTACGGTGGGAAAAACAGCGTGGCACCTCCCTGAACCGTGCCAGAATGCCTCGGCACGGCTCGGACCCGGCTTGGTTGCGCAGTGGGAAAGGGGGCGTAGCTTTGCATGCGGAAAAGATGCGCTGTTTGCATTCTACTTTTGCGGTTTCATGCCTGAAGGCTTGGCCTCTCTTTACACGGTGTGGCAGTGAAACAGCAGGACAGCTCCGTACTAGGTTCACGTCTTCATGCAACTTTTCTTTATGTTCCAGCCTGGACACGGACTTGGAAAATCAGACGTACGATACTGCATACAACATACAAGCAGAGCTAATGGCCTTAAACATGCAATCGGAGCTCAACATTGAAGGTGAGACGAGCAATCTAAAACCTTCCATGCTTGATTTTACCTTGAGCGTTTCTTTCAATTCACCACTTTAGTCATTTGTTACCAGTTCTCCAACTTGACAATATTTTTAGTTGAAAGTGTTTTTCTTTAGCTACGTCAGTGATGTAATTTTCGCCGTGTGCAAGCTCCTTAAAGGGGCAATAGAGTTTGTAATAAAGGCTTTGGGAAATTCGGCCATGAATGGGAATCAAACATGGATTCCCACGTTGGTAGCACAGTGCCCTGACCGGTGCTGCATTACTCCACCCGTGTTTTGCCAAGTGTTTTCTGTGTGCGTGTGTGTGCTCATGTCTGTGTGTGCATTTGTGTGCGTTTTGCAGAAGATGAGTACGATTTCCCAACCCATTCTGTGCCAATCAAGGCTCCCGTGGATTCCACTCAGCTGGAGCTCGACTCCCGGCTCTCCACAAACCAGGGATCGGGTGGGTTGTTGTTGCAATTATTTGACCCACTGCCACAATGTTTGTGTGCAGGAAGGTATTTTGAACTAGGCATAGTGCTGGTGAACACTGGAATGTTGTTGTTTGCGTGTTGTATGTTAATCGTTGTGAAATGTATAGAGCACACAGGTTTGTTCGCTCTCAGAGAAGCGGAGAGGTAGCCAGAATCGCCCTCAACAATTGCCCAAGCTCTGTGGTTCTATTTTGAGATATTTTGCAATCGCCATGAATGAGTTTATTCTACGTGTGGGATTAAACCCTAAGAATCCACGCATGCGGGGCGGGGTGGCGGGAGGTAGCACGCAATCCTCGTATAGATATAAAACAGAAGGAAATTGATCCACTTTCTGAAATGCAGTACCCTGGCAAGCCATGAGATGGAGACCTCAACGCCCACGGGTAGGGAGTTTGCGAATGTGTCTTCAGCCAGCCAGGTTACAGGCCACGTGCAGCAAAGCCACCAGCACTAACATTTTCCTATATAGAACCCTACCTTACAGACGCCGCGGGCAACACAAAACCGTGTTGTGCGGAGCAATAAATACATAAATACACAGCTTCCCCCACCGCTGAGCGCAGTCGATGTGTTTCCGTGCCGCAGACGACGAGTACGATGTGCTGCCGCACCCGGTGCCCGTTGTGCCGATGCGCCGCAACGCCCACGAGGCTTCGCGTGGTCACCGCACCCTGGAGAAGGCGTCTTCGGATGCCGGTACGGGCGGACGGATGCACAGACGTTTGCGAGCGCGTTTTTGTGCACACGTATGGACGTGGGGAGCGGTAATGATACGGTTGGTGCACCGCTCTACCAACTCTGTTACCCGAGTTCAATTCCGGTCACGGCCAGCATCAGTGATGGTGATTATCTGAACTGGTCCTGGGCCTCCCCTACGTTGACTCGACCTCGAATGAGTAGCTGGTGCTGTGTGTAAACATTGCCACAGGGGAGACAAAGGCAGTCGGGCGTGGTGCTTGGCCACCCACTCCCTCGTGTGCCGTGCCGGCCTTAATAGGTGCTCACTGACAGCACTTTCCCCAACAGTCTGTTCAAGGCCAGGGGGATCTTTGTCTTATTTAGACAGTTGGATACAGATAAACTAATGTGGTTCTAACTCATCCTATGTAAATGCCTCAAACACCTAGATACAGTTTCTTCAAAAATGTCCTCGGTTATTCTCGCACTTCAATGCTTAGCTGTTGATTATGTTGATAACTTAACTTACAGTTGTATTCGACGCATGTCCTTGTCTGTTTCCGTACCAGTGCAATAATCACCCTCCATCTATTTTGATGTTCCTGCGACTGAATTTATTTCAGGCACCAGAGGCCACAGAAATGTTGAGCGATGTCACTCGGACTACGATATGGTTTCTGGAAGAGAAGCATCAGGTATTTAATCCAGACCTGGGATCCGTTATAATTACAACAGCATTGTTAGCTGAGATTGCAATTAAAATTACTTTGTGAATTGTAATGCGTTACCAATTGGACAATTACAATCGATACCAGGTCTGATTTAATATGTGTCCAGCAACCTATTTGTGTGTCGTATAACTTAATATTTTCTAATTGATGTTCACACATCCGACCTTTTCGCCTATTTGCATGTGCCTCGGTCCACAGCGAGCCAGTAATGGAACATTTTCCCATCGCTGCTGCTCTTGTACGTAGAATTGCCTGGACGAGGCTGTTGACGTATGGAATGGCGTGCGTGCCGCTGACGAGCACATCGCTGTTTGCGTGTGTAGATTTGGCCCAGGCTCCGGCCCGGCCACCCAAGCCTCTTCCACGGAGGGCCAGCGCGGAGCGCAGCATGTCCCAGATCCTGTACGAGTCCCCAACGCAAGACGCTCGGCCCACCAGTCAGCACGGCTGGCTCGACTCGTCGCAGCAGCAAGAGTCGGCGGAGGAAGAACGTGAAACTTTAATATCCCTTTTGATGAGGGAGGGGTACTCCTTTGAAGATGTGCACCGTGCCCTTGTGATTGCCCAGAACAATTTGCAGCTCGCGCGCAGCATCCTGCGGGAGTTTGTGGCTGCCCCTGTCCGGCTGTAGTCCCCCAATAAGCGATGCTAAGTGAGCAGAAAGGTGCATCGCAAAGCGGCATGCAATTTGCCGAAGGAACGGCTACTATTGCCTTGGCTGTAATGGCACGACTTGGCCCATTTGCAGTGTTTTGACGGTCGCGTGACTTTTTCCCCTTCACCCCGCGGCCAATGGGAGGAAGAACCAGCTCGTGGCGGCGCTGTGCGTCATCGGAACGGTGTCGAGTGAGAGCGGCGTTTAGTTTTGGCATAGAGGGCCAAATAAAAAGGTCCTGCCCCGAGCGCCAAGACGGCAAGGAGATGCGCCAGCTGTGCCCACTGAGCCTCGCCTGCGTTGTAAGATTGAGCTCAAACTCCCCGAGGTGGTAGTTACATACCACCGGGCACATGGGAGGGCAGTAGCTTTGGGGGGGTCAGGGGGCCCATGTCGATCAATTGAGCAGCGTGCGTGATGGGTGGGGTGGTTCATGTAGGCACGGGGGGGGGCCCCGTGCACATTTATCCGTAGCGGTGGTGAAGGCGTGGAGCAGTGGCCCCTTTCCTGCCTCCATGCACCCATGTCCTTGTGTATCAACAAGTATGCAAAAAGGGGGCCCATCTGCAAAAAAAAAAATCGACTTGCTCAGTATTGCAATTTAAAAGTTATATCCATAATTCAGTAAAGCTTCGTCTAATCAAATGGAATGCTTTGGATTAAATTCAACTGCAAAGTATTTGGCAGGTATGCATTCTTAAACTTCGTTGACAGCATAATGTCATACAACTTTACAATACAACTTTGTTACTTAAAATGAACTCGGTGGGAACGAGAGCCGCATCTTGACTTTTGCAATGGGTCATGCAAGCAAGCGGCGCGTTGACTGCACGCGCTTCTCCATGTGACGCGTCTTCCTCGTCCTGCATTGCGTTGTATTTATAAGACAAGACCCGTTTTTGTCTGAACCTAGGTTTCCTCGCAACGGTTCCTTGCAACTGCGGTGCCTCCCCTTGAGTGCCTGTGCCTTTTTTAGGCTCCCCACTGCCGAGTCTGACGCCTCCTCCCTCGTGCGCGCTCGCTTTTTCCGTCTTGAGTACAGAGTCGCTTCCGACATATTTTTATTGCTACCCGCAAACGGTGGCAGACTTCCCCCTTCCCCCCACAAATGTTCCATTTTTAAATACCGGCCCATTGCTGGGGTTGGACAGAGGCCCGGGGGGGTGGAGGAGGCAGATTTTTAAATCCCCAATTCGCCTGCCACCAGCCACCCAGCAGTATAATAAATATGCGCAGCACAGTAAGTCCGTCAGCAGGGCATGTGCCCGTGGGGTAAAGTATGGGTGCTCTCACGTCCTTTCAAGATATCTAGCCGTCTTGGAAGATTAGGCCAAATACCCTCGAGAGGGGAGCTCCCTCTAGTGGAGGCCTTTCTGCCAGCAGTGGCGTGAGTGGGACACTGCAAGGCTGCACCACCCAAGCTTTTGAAAAGCTTTTTTTTTATACCCAAAATGTTTATTTGGGGGACCTTTTGCATTCAAAGTTATTGGTTGTATGTACGAGGCTTCGCGGACCGCCAGGTTCTGGGTAGCTTGCACTAACGTAGACTGCATCTGAAACATTGCTCCGTCTGCTAAGCCTTATCACCAGGGTCTCACCGCTGGCCACAGCACCCCAGCACTTTGATTTCCACAAAGATATGGGTGGGCTGGGGGGCCCTTGGTACAACCATGTCCTTGTAACTTTGTGGGGAGAGTAGGGGTTAATTCATGCAACCTTTTGTAACTAACCTAATGTGAATTTAGATTTGCCTGCTATACATTTTCACGTGATGAGCCACTTCGTTGATCTATCTTTTGTGGCCAGGTCGCTTCTGAAAAAGAGCTATATAACTCAGTCGGCCTTGCCTGGTAAAATAACAATGAAAAATGTAGTTTTAGTTTCATAATACAAGCAGGTTTACTTTAAAAATAACAAAACGCCCCAAAATTCAAAACCAGAGTGTTGGCAACCTGCTGGTAGCAGTGTGATTCTGTTTTACTAAAAAGCGAGGCGTGGATGGGCATCAACAGCTGTGGCCACGATGGCGTCTCGATTGTTGAGAACGATGAACCAGCTCCTCTCGAGTTCTGCTGTGAACCTCAGGCAGACACACGGAATGCCAATCGGTGCAACGTGGGTTGTAGGAGTGTCGCGTGTTTGTACCGGGATTAGTCACTTTATTGCACAATAACTGTTTAGTGGTGTCCGCTTTGTGTTGAGGTGTGAGTGTTAGCCTTCCGTGGTGTGGAGATTACCAGCTGGTTCCAGCAAGCGGTTTTCTTGGGTGGCTTTAGCGGAACTGGCGTGCGAGCAAGCGGAGCCTGCTGTCGGGGCTTGCGGGGGCTGTGTGGGCGACGGGTACAGGTGGCACGGTGACGGCAGGAGAGATTCTCTCTGGGTGGAGTTCTGCTCTGAATCGTGTTTCTATGGCACAATGTAGACGATGGTAGAAAGTACACGAAAGTCAGTTTAAAAAAATATACACTTTGAAAACCAAATCAGGTTTTTATTACGTAAATATTTGCATTAACTGGTCTTTTTAAAAGGTTTTTAGCTTTCCACGCATTCAAGTGCATTAAACAGTGGCAGGACTTTTGTCTGCTGGGCTGCAATTGGCAGGATAATGAAATCGGTGATTTCAGTTGTTCATTCTCGCTTGCACGAGTTTACTTATTCCTTATGCCCTAACATTTGCCTTCCTCTTGGTTAACCGTGCTTTAGTCTGTATCACCACTCCTTAATGTGAATATATAAGGGAACAAATCTTATTTCCTATCTCAACCGATGTCAGAGGTGACTGGTGTAATCTTAATCACGTTCGCAGGGAAGTGTTCATTTCCGACAACTCGTGTTCTCGTCGGCTTTTAAGTGTTTTTTTTACGACTGCTATGCGTAGTTGTTTGGTCTTGCGTCACCTGATGATGTTGATGCCTTTTTTTATTGCAAAAAAAAACCCAGTTTAAAAAAAAAAAACCCAGTTTCTAAAGACGATCGAAGCAGCGACGTCCAAAACCAAGTTAATAAAAAAAATGTTCACTCCATCTTGTGCATCTGCGCAGAAATATCCCCTCGTTGTGATGGTCACGTGGCGGGCGCGTGTGACCAGGTGATATCGATCGTTCGACGCGTCTGTCGAAGTTGCCTTTCTGTTGCAAAATCCAAATGCATTGGAGGGGGGGGGGGGGGGGGGTGGCCCTAGCTGCCGAACGGCAAAAGTACTCGGCATAGACGTTTGCCTGTGCCTGCTGGAGCTTGTGCAGCGACGCAGTGCAGCGTTATTCCTGGCCCCCCTTAGCACGCGGGTTCTATCTACCACGCTTTGGAAGTGTATCTTGTAAAAATTACTTTAGAAAATTACGTTAAGTCCTGTTTCACGTAATGGCTTAAAAGTTTGTATATTTATGTTTAGTACTATCCTCGTGATTTAGGGATGGTATTTTTTTTATGAATTTACACATAGCTTGTTTGATTATTTAAAATATACTTGTAAATTATGTTGGAATAATTGTAAATGTTGGACCTGTTGACAAATTGTTTTATGCTATACAGAGCATCGTTGAATGTTTTCTGTTGAATAAGGTTTTCCATATTTTTGAGGCTTGAATCGGTGGTATATTTTGGTACATAGTTATTTGCTTAACGAATAAGTCTGGTTAATTCACAAATATTCCCAGCCAATTAACTCACTTTCAACAGGATGATCAGCTCAGGGCCAATTATCACCTGGATTTGTGGGGGAAAAGGAAAAATATTACTAATTTTACAATGGAAATAACTTTTTAAACAAACAATTGGGAAACTATCGTTTAACTATCACTTCTGCTCATTATCGTTCTTAAGTCCATGCAACATGCTCATTTGTGTGTGTGGTAGCCTGTATTATCTTGGCCTGTAGAAGTACCAGCAGAAAATCTCTACAATTCTCTTACATTTCTAAATCAACCCGATAATTAATCCTTACACTTAATTCCAGATTTAAATCTATACAACCGATGTACATGTTGCACTGACTGCTTTCTAAAGCAGGTTTTTCAGAAGGGCAGAAGATGAACCCTTGGCCATTTCCCCTCCATGTGAAGCGTTAGCACAAAATGTTCCAGTTTCTCGGATCTCTCTCAACTACTCGGATTTCATAGTGGAGATGTACACGCAGGGTACCTATATTTCGTTAAGTTACTCAACAAGATGTTGCCATGGAGGGAATGTGGCAAGGCCCAAACGTTGTTTTCCTTCTGCAGCGCTGGGATGTCAATGAGGGCCCATCTGCATCGCGCCCTCCGTATGATCAGAGGGCCAACACTTGGGTCTCAATCCACTCCTCTACTCCGGCTGGCTATGTCTAACAAGGCCAGGGCACATTTATCCATATATCCTTTCTCTTGCCCTCACAGCCCTTTCGCTGTGAGGGTTTGTCGTGTATGGCCAGCTTGTACACCATTGACAGCATATGTGGGGTATGGTCTGGGCATGTACAGACCTGGTGATTTTTTTTTTACATTCTGCCATAATCACGATTACCTTCCCCATTCTCCCAATCTTGGGATGTTCCTCAATCAGCCGCTGTCCTGTTCTACCCCCCCCCCCCCCCCCCCTCGTGTTCTTGAATTTATCTCAGGGTGTTTTGCTTCAAATATTCCATGATTAAAAAAAACAATTGTGATACAAGCAGTACACAGTATTTAAATAATGGATGTTTCATTTGTCATTCCTTAAGACTTACGTCAGGTAACCGGATTGATGTTATTTGATTTAGGATGAGAATGTGTATATCATTCCGAGTTGTCGCCTGACTCGCCAAAAATAAATCCAAGGTGGGTTTATTTCTACATATGAGCATGACATTATTTAAAGGCGTTGCTGCTTTCAGTAATTGTGCAGCACGGAGATGAATCCGCAAGATCTCGACTGCTTTTTCCTTTCCGTCGCACATTGTTGTATTCCAGGATGTGGTTTGTGGGTTTGTTATGATATGATGTGCACCACTCAAAGCACAGATTTATTGTAAGAGATTGAGCCTTGACAATAGAGTTTACAGAGGTGTTCTTTTTGAAGTTGATATTGCCAGACAGTGTGAGAAAAATGTATATAAAGTGGTAATGTTTAGTACTACACTGTGAATGGTACTAATGCAAGTACTGTATGCGTCAGGAAATCCGCATTAACCTTTTTGTACAATTTATTTGTAAACTTTGCATCACGATATATGTCCACGTGTCACTGGAGAGGACTTTTTGTCCACTTTACATAAAAAAATAATCCCAAAAAATCCATATGATTTTACAGTTGCACTCACAACATTTAACCTCTTGTTTTTATTGTTTTAAATGGCTTGTCTGTCTTTTCTGTACAAAAAAAATGTTTGGCAAGGATGAAGTCTAGTTCAGTCATGGATAAGTCCGCTTTTGAATATCACGAGAAACTGATGTCCGTTTGTGTAAAAGGGACTTGCATCCAGGTTGTTGGTGGATTTTACATTTGACAAACTCATACAATTGCGATCATGGATGTGTTGTGGTTGGACGTGTTACGTGGAGATAACCACTCGTGACGTGATTCCATGCCCTTTGCCTAGAGGACCTCTGCTGAACTGCAGCGGGAGAAAGTGGAACCGATTGGAAGCGTGGCGGATCGCGGTTTTTTTTCTGGGTGGGTCCCACTGGCGGTGAATGTTAACCTGACCGCGAAAACAATAGACCCCTTGACTTAGCTGATGCCAAATTCATACTGTGAAGATTGTTATAAGTCCGAAATTGTGAGTTTTAAACAAGTCCCCGGTAATTAAATCGGCCAAAAAGTTTTGCGTAATTTGATTTTTTTTATTCCAAGCCAAGTGCCTTGTATACAACACCGAGCCTCACGCGCGCGGACTGTCTTCCCCCTGGAGTCGTGTGGCTCAATGCCGCGACATTCCCATTGGTCTCCGGGGCGCCCCACCACGTCAGTCTTCACGCATTCCTTGGCCGTAAAACATCAGGCCGGGTTATTTCGGTTGCACTTCTAACTGCTTCGGAATGGATTGGGGGATGCTCATTTGCTTGTGAGCCTTACACACTTGTCGCTTTTTTCGTGGCTAATTACAACAAAACACCCTCCATTCTAAATGTTTCCATTGAGGAACAAAAGGTAGTTCTAGGTGATAAGTATAATTAATTATTGATTACTCGTTAAGTTGTACGGCTGCCGTTTGATCGGGGGAAAAGTAAACTTTTGAAATGTTCGAATGTACGTAGTATTCTGTAAAAAAAATTAAGACTGACTTTGAAATGATTAACATTCTTTTTTTTACAATGCTATATTTTCAGCAGAGGGAGCCGCTGCAGCAAACATTTTAATCGTGCCGTGTTTGAGGCTCGCGCAGCGTCTCTGCTCCCCTCTTACACCAACCGCGCTGACCGGTGTGGTTGGTGAAGTATGGTCAAATAACCCCCCCCCCCACAAACCGCACGGCACGGCGGAGGCCCTCGTCCAGCAGTGGACCGACAAAGGGCCGCACCGTAGCTTGCTTACAGCTGCCGTGTATCAACACAACGTAGTGTTCGGATTGTGCTGACATTCTTACGGTTTAACCTGGAACAAATCTGCGCGAATTGTTTCATTTGCTTATGTGGTGGGGGGGGGGGTGACAGGGGTGTGGGCAGGTTGTGTACGGCAAGACGGCAGAATATTCATGAATCCAGGTAGGACCTAGATCGCAGGTAGCCGCGTGAACCGCTGTGCTCGCGTGGAAAGCCATCTCGGGCACGTGTTCGTGGCCAGTAAGAGTAGCAGCTTGATTACAGTGCCTAACCACTGGCCAGCCCTGCCCTGTGCAATTTACTCTCTTAGTATCCACTTTGTCTTAACAAAACAACTGTATTGGTGATGAAAAAATAGCTAAAATAATAACTGTTGTAAAATATTTTTGTTAAATAAAACCATATATCTGGCTAAATCTCGTGTGGTGTCCGTGTCACCTTGGCACTGCAGGTGTGCCCAACAGGATGCAGTATTTTTTATTTAAAGCTTTCGTGGCTGCAGGGATTCATATTCTTGGTTCTTTCGGTAAAGTCACGTAGAAGGGAAACAAAATAATATTTTTTTATATTTTTATTATTTGATTGTTTCCCTTCTACGTGCCTTTACCGAAAGAACCAAGAATAAGGATGCAGTAATGTCAATGTCTTGTTGTTGGACTGGCTGTGTTATCGTCGGTCATGGGCGTTTGTATTTCAGGCGGCTCATTGTATGCTTGGTTGGGGCAGTGGTGTGCACGCTAGCCGACGAACCCGGCCGCCCAAGTTAGATTCCTGGCCAACGAACATCAGTGGCCGGAACTCCAACCAGTATGACGTATCGCCAACCTCCCATGACCGACGCAGCGTGGGGAGGCTGCCATCCAGCAGTGGATTGACAGATGGCTGTAAATTAATATTGAACCTAATGACAATGGAAATTATGAAGTTAAATATTTAACTTATCCTATGGGGTATTAAAAATAACTTGTATGCAGCTCAGGGGCGGAGCAAGGGGGGGTGACAGGGGTGACATTCTGCGTATAAGTGTACGACACTCGGTCTGGCGGACTCCGTGCAACTGCATTGTCAGAGTGTGTCGCCAACCGATGGCGTCTAGTTCAACAGCCTGACTCTAATCATTCTTGAAATTAAAATTTGTTGAATGTCACCCCGGGCTGAAAATCCTGGCTCCTCCCCTGATGCAGCTGCTAGGTGGAATTATATCTTCGGTTTGAAAGGTGACGGTGGCTTTGGAAGGCCATTCAGCAGTAGATTGATCACGGCTGGTGATAGTGATGATGTACCAGGGCACGTCGGTGCTACCTGCGTCTCCCCCAAGCATCTCCAAGAACTAAACATTACCAAGCTGCAGCGTGTACAACGTTCTCTGGCACGTGTCGTGGCTCGCCGAGCGACATTGGATTCCGATTGCCGAACGAATACGTTGCAAGGGCGCACTCATTACACACAGAATGCTTGCCACACATGAACCACAATACGTTGCTGATCTCGTCAATGAGCATAAACCATTCTCACAACTTCTGGTCGTCCTCGCAGCGGCTTTTGGCTAACCATCGAACAAAGACGATCACCGTATCGCACGCTTTCAGATGTGCTTCTGAGGCTGCCTGGAACGCTCTTCCGATATTAGGAAGCCACTGGCACTTTTAACCCATATAGATTGAAAAGCATTTCTTGTGTTTATTTTGTTGCCCTTCCCCGCACCTCCAATTAGCACGTTTGGCTACGTACGATGTAGAAGTTCAACATGCAGCACATACAAATAATAAACAGCTCAAGGAGTAAGCTGCAGAGGTGGATTTGCCACCTGTCTTTTTTGCAGGATTGTCTTCGAGTTGAGCGCTGTAGCTATCCTGTGAAATGGAACAGTCTGGGTTTTGAACGTGCATTTAATAATAACTGTACCCGACTCTAGACAATGTATTTACGTGTAGTTTCCTCTCGTGAAATGTTATTCCCATGAGATATCCCGGTTTATTTGTATCTCGGGAGGTGGCAACCTTCGTCGGTAGCGGCTGTGCCAGCACGCGGGGATTGTGCACGGTCGGCGAGCGCGCTCGGCGTGGACGAACGTGGGGACATCGGACGCACCACAATGGGGGGGGGGACAGGGTAAGCCACGTGGAATGCTGCTGCCCTGGTGCCATCGCACGCCACGAGATGGACTCGCAATCCAGAAGCCATCGTCGGTTCGCGATCTCCCGGCACGCCATGTGAAACAATAGGGGCGAGTTTATTACATCTCCCCCGCCGTTTGTCCACACGGCAGTGTAAATAAATGGGTTCAAGGGGAGTTTGGTCGATTGGCGGGTTCTGTTTTGGTTGAGGGAGGGGGGTAAGTCTTAGTACTCTGCACCGTTTCTAAGACATGTGGCCAGCGCTGAAGCGTCGGCCGTACGGTTCTCATCGGAGGGCTGAGGAGAGCGCCCTCCGGTGGAGGCTGCTACACCAGCAGTGGCGCGAGCAGGCAATTTCAGGGCTGCGCCTTTGCCGTCTCGTGAACAATAACATTCTAACATGCAAAAGACGCGTTCAAAATGAATGTGCAGTGACGCATACCTTTTTTTTACTATTTTCATTTAACCAGGCGAGGCCCACTGAGCTTAGCTCTTTTTTCAGAAGCGACGTGGGCCACGTGATAGCTTCACTGAAATAAACTCCCATTGCAGCACACAGAGCAACCATCTTCACTAGAGCCTGCTTCCGTTCCTCGCTTAAAACAACCCCATCTCTTCTTCGCCTTCCTGCTACTTCATACCCCCGCTCACCAGCTATGAGCAGGTCCAGCCCAAGCCCTATCACCACCCCAACTCCTATCGCCACCTCTACCCCAACCCCTATCACCACCACTACCCCTATCACCACCACTACCCCTATCACTACCCCAACCCTCTATCACTACCCCAACCCCCTATCACTGCCCCGATCACTACCCATATCCCCCTTCACTACCCATCCTTAACCACTCCCGCCCGTTCTGTCACCATAACTACACAACCACTTTTTATAACCACAATATTTATCTAAACCATTATCACAATTGTATCATTGTTGTAAAGCGCCTTTATAAGGTAAGATTCATTTCTGATAACTCTGTTGGCTCATAATATTTATGCTTTGTTGAGCGGTGGTGGCTGTGCACGCCTCAAATCCATCACCTGTGGACACGAGGGTTGGTGGCTCACGCATGCGTTTATGGACCCCAACGCCCGTGGCGGCGAGCTGTCATCAGCTCGCCAGGAGATGGCAGTACAGCAACTATATTCATCTCCATCTATGAAAAATAATCATAGGTTTTACCCTTTCCGATAATAAAAACAGGTGTTAAGATGTTCAAACACCAAACAGAAACCTTTTGCTAGAATCAAGTCTGCATTCACCACACGCAGAACACACACGCAGCACACACACACAGCACACACGCAGCACACGCAGAGCGCACGCACACGCGCAGCGCACAACAACAACCGCCATTCGCCACTAAGTGGCGGTGACGTCACCACGACGCTTGTGCCAGGCCATGTGCATCTTGAGGCCACGTGAAGTGTCGGGTCGACTGACTGAGATGACTGGCTGATGCACCACCTGTGCCCCCTACTGTGCCAACTTGCTGTGCATTCGCCACCCGGCGCTCCGCTCGTTGTTTTGAGTTTCGCTCCTCAGCCCTCCGTTGTTTTTGGAGGGCGTCTGCCTCCAACTGCCCAGCAATAGCGTCCTTCACGAGCCTCCTCCACAAAGGCCGATCTTGACACCGCTGGTACCAGTCATCGGCAAGTCCACTCAGCTCCACGTCCTCCTGTACTACATCACTCCATCTCTTCTCGAGCCCGTGCCGCGCCCGTTTAGCCCCCTCGATCCGGCCGAACAAAAGCTGTTTCGGCATGCGGTGGCTGGGCATGCGGGCTACGTGACCCAGCCAACGCAGCCTTGCCTGCCGGAGGAGCTCACCGATGGGACTTTGCCCAGATCTTTCAGGGATTTGTGAGCTCCTCGCACAATCCAGCCTGGTTAAACCCAGGATGGATCGTAGGCAGGCCAGCCTAAATGTTTCTAACAGGCGAAGATGTTCCATTAGGGGGGGGGGGGGGGGGTCCACGTTTCGCAAGCGTAGAGAAGGGAGGGAATGACCGTGGCCGAGAAGACCTAAAGCTTCGTGCGGAGCGACAGACCAGGTAGCTTCCACACAGCGTTACGCAACCGATAAAAATATATTTCCGCTCGACTGATTGGGAGTGAGACCTCCGCTGCCAAACGGGAGCTGGTCATGAGCACACTGCCCAGGTATGGGAAACTCTCCTCTCTCTCCACAACTGCCCCATCACCGATTGGGAGTAGTGGGGTCGGAGTGTCCGAAGGTACAAAATACCCAGGCAGGTGCTTAGTTTTGGTGGGGCTGATGGTAAGGCCCCACCACGCAGCGCACACGCACACACACCCACACGCAGCACACACACACCCACACGCAGCGCACACGCACACACACGCAGCACACGCACACACACAGCATACGCACGTAGTGTCCCGGCGGGGATCGCCTGGCACAACGGGTGTTCATCCGAAGGGCCCCTCGGAGGGAAGTCCCGTGGTTTCCCGGTTCCAGGAGATTGGCCGACCCTCACAGGACAAGTCACATTGTGGTGTCCCTAAATTGGCTTAAAATTGTATGGGCGCGCAAATGTTCACCGGGCCAGCCACAATGAGTCATGCACGACATCGGGGAGGGGGCTGGGGTGAAATATTAAGTGAGCAGAGCAGACAATGAGGTCAGGGGATCGCAGCGCCACAGACCGAATGCACACTGGCAGGGTGTGTATTTGCCAGCCGGACGCCCTTCCAGATTAAACAGGCTGAGTCAGGAATTAATGAGTACAGGTGCACAGACAATAGGTTGAGAAATAACCGTCGCAACGCTCCATGTAATGGAAAAAAACTATTGAAAATCACAAGTATCCGCACGATTGGCTGCACAGGATAACGTAACCCTGGATTTTTGAAGTCGAGGGGCATAAAAAGGGGAGCCAAAAACCGATCTCATATTCAGCATTTAGTCGCCAACCCCCCCCCCCCCCCCCCCACTGCCGTCCTGCCTCCTCGAGCTGCTCGCTGCATCCATGTGATGCCAGCGAGTGCTGCTACGAGGCAGTTCAGTGATAGGCAAGGTTTTTTCATCATCCTCCCTCTGACTCCCACAGCATCCGTGCAATGCCGTGAGTAGAGCTGCGAGGTACATGATAGGGCGTGTGAGTGTTTGGGGACTTGGGTTGCAGTAGGCTCGGCTCTGCTCGCAGAATATTCCCTCCAGGCAGTGCAGGGTTTGCTCCGTGGGCAGACGCGTGGCGAGAGTGAGGGCAGAGTCGCAGCACGAGCGCTCGTTGATATAATCGCCTGCAGGTGCGCACGTTCGTGCCGCCGCGCTAGCGTTAGCTGTGGTGTGTGCGCGTGTTAGGTGTGCGCGCGTGTTAGGATATAATCACCTGCAGGGGCGTGCGCGTTCGCGCCGCCGCGTTAGTATTAGTGGTGGTGTACGCGGGCGTGTGGGGAATAACCCTATGCGGTGGTGAGCCAGCAATTTAGTTGTGTCCCTTAGAGAGGGCACTAGCACGGGGGGGGGGGGGGGGGGGGGGTTGGCAGGGGCCCGGCGGGAGCCGATGGACGTGGTGGAGGAGGGAGTGGAGGGGGCGGACGTCGCGCCCCACCTGCCTGGCCAGGGCGGTGGGGTGGACGCTGGCCCCCATAGAATACGCCGGCCCCCACACTTGTGGCGAAGATTCAAACAAACATGCTCTGATAATACTTGTAGGAAACGTAGTGGACTGGAAGCCCAACCGGGATTAATTCACAGGAGGCAGGGGATTAATTGTGTATGTCTGTGGATGTCTGTCCATGTGGGAGGGGTGGGGCTGGGTGGAGAGGGGAGGGTAGGGAGGGGCTGGGTGGGGAGGGGCTGGGTGGGGAGGGGCTGGGTGGGGAGGGGCTGGGTGGGGAGGGTGGGGCTGGGTGGGGAGGGTGGGGCTGGGTGGGGAGGGTGGGGCTGGGTGGGGAGGGTGGGGCTGGGTGGGGAGGGTGGGGCTGGGTGGGGTGGGTGGGGCTGGGTGGGGTGGGGCTGGTCACCCCGTGGTGCCCTAATATGGAGTGGAAGCCCAACCGGGATTAATTCACAGGAGGCAGGGGATTAATTGTGTATGTCTGTGGATGTCTGTCCACGTGTATCCGGACACCCGGATATATAACAAATGTGCTCCAAGTGGGCATTACTGGTAGGAAACGTAGCGGACTGGAAGCCCAACCGGGATTAATTCTCACAGGAGGCAGGGGATTAATTGTGTATGTCTGTGGATGTCTGTCCACGTGTATCCGGACATTCGTATATAAAAAATGGGAGGGGTGGGGCTGGGTGGAGAGGGGAGGGTAGGGAGGGGCTGGGTGGGGAGGGGCTGGGTGGGGAGGGTGGGGCTGGGTGGGGGCTGGGTGGGGTGGGGCTGGGTGGGGTGGGGCTGGGTGGGGTGGGGCTGGGTGGGGTGGGGCTGGTCACCCCGTGGTGCCCTTATAAAACTCAACGTTTAACCTACTCACGCCGGCTTGTGCCCGCCCTCAGTCGGGCATATTTGCGGAATACACCACGCCGCCGTTGACCCTGGCCACTGACCGAGCAACCAACGTTCCTACCAGCCCCCTCCGTAGGAATGTGTTATGTGGAGTGACATCGCTAGATGCCACCATGTTATGGGTGTAGTATTGGCCCTAGAGGTGTATGGTGTGCGCTGGATAATAGTGCTGGATGACACGAGGATGTAAGTGAAGTGCCGGCCCTACAGGGCAGGGTGTGTGGGTGCCGACCGAAGGATAATGTTGTGTGAGGCCATGGCACTCTGGTTGACCCGGGAGGACACGTGACCAGTTAAGTTGACAGAGGGGTCCCAAAAGAGGGCTAGGGGGGTCACCTGATTGGGACTCAGATCCTTCCCGAGGGTTCTGGAAGGTGGACGTGGCCAAGGGCCGAGCCGGCCACGCCACAGAGAATATTAGCCGGTTCCCGAGAGGGACCAGGGTTGTTCATCCCGGAATAGAAACCCTTCGTCTACGATCTCTGTTCAACAAGTCTTCCAGCACGTGGACCCGGGCAGATGTTGTAGTCCCGGGTCTGTAGTAACCGTAAGTAGTCACTAGTGTCGTAACTGGGTGGTCACCACCTTAGGTCGTTATTCTGTTAAGGGGAAGTTACCCCATGTGTTGGAACTGAATAAATGTGTTGCCTCCAAAGTCTATGCCTGCGACTCAGTTGAACCCATTACAATGCATTGTCTTTGAAACGGATTGGCCTACACCAGAGGCAGCCTTCTATATGACCTTGTCTCACCAGTGTCAGACCACAGAACGCCAAAAGACGAACAGTAACAAAGACAGTGCAACTATCAGCATTTATAGCTCGGGATGAGCAGCAACATCTTAACACCTGTTTTATTCCCAGAAAGGGAAAAAAACTTATTATTTTTCATACATTGATACTGGCAAAAAGGTCCCATGATACATTCTTCATCTGTTTGTATCTGAATATGGATTGAGCGTTACCCCCTCTTCCTACCTCAACGCGTGGGGAAAAACACATGCAATATAGATTTTCTAAACCAATGATAGTCACCAATAACTAAACGTATGCAGTATATATTATTTTAAACGTACAGTGCTGTACAATCTAATGAGATTGTGCCATATCACACAACAAGGGTTATAATTTGGGCCATAAATCTGGCGGAACGTTACACAGCTCTCTCTGCTCTCGCTCTCTCGCCCTTCCGCGTGGGCGCTCCAGCCAAGGGGACAGCCGCAGCTTCAGTGCAGCCAGCACCACGGCACGGGGACCGCGGCCGTGTTTCTGCTCCCAGTTCTATTAAAAGTTGTCGCCGAGAACGTCATGGGTTTAAAAATCGCGTGCTGCTTTCTGTTCGCGCTCGCAACGCAACGTAAGTGTTTGCGCCATGTCGTGGAGTGTTATCCCGTAACAAATGTCATCGTTAACTTTGCGGTGTATTATTGCTGCGCGTGCGTGTTTGTCACGGTTGGCGCGCTGCGATACGAACCCGGCAGCCTGAGTTCGATTCCCGCTCACGGCTAACACCACTGACGGTTTTTTGAACCTGTCCTGGGCCTCCCCGAAGGTCGACTCGGCATCAAATGAGTACCTGGGTGCGGTGTGTTAAAATATCGCCACTGGGGAGACGAAGGCGGTCGGGGTGGTGCTGGCCACCCACCCCCTCGTGCGCTGTGCCGGCCTTCATAGGTGCTAATCCCTAACAGCACTTGCCCCCAACAGTCTGTTAAGGCTTAACGGGGGATCGTTGTCTTTGTCACACCTCAGCTCTATTTTGCACGCTCAGTGTAGAGGTGGGGTTCCTGTGTGTTTTCGGCAGCTCTGTTAAACAGCGTGAGATTATTAAATGATGCTTCACGTTGGTTCAATTATTGCAATTGGTTGTGAGCGGAACCGATATTCATAATCGGCGCGTTGTTGAACGCTCTTGCATCGCGAGGCACTTTAATTTGTTCAGCTGTGCCAGGTTCTTACTACGTCTGATGCCACACTTGGGCCAGATCGTTACTACAAATCTATTCTGAACGGTCATATGATTAAGTAACTTTTTCATAGCAGTCTGAAAGAGGAAGTTCGTTTTGACAATTGGTCTGTAAAGATGAACCTTTTGTATGAATGGCACACGGTTCTACAAATTTGACCTCTTTTGCAAAATATTGTTTCCCATGTTACTCATATTCGAGGGAACTGAAATGTTTAAAATAAAACCATTAGAGACTCGTCGAGCATGCTTGCGGAATTTCCCATTGCGCTCTCTGCGGGAAAAAAAAACACCGCTGTCTGCAATGTTGAATGTTTTATTCACCAATTTAATAACTTCTTACGTGAAAAAGGTAATCATCCCCTACGTGCTGAATTTGTATAAGTATTACAGCGATTACGTCATACTTGTGTTAACGTTTGCAAAATTGAGTTGTAAATATGCCGGGTATATTGTAACCGATCAGCGGGAGAGCAAGGGTGGCTTGCGATTGCGATGGTTGTTCGGGATAGACTCGGCTTCATCACCCCTTTGCGGTCATGAAAATGAGTACCACTTCGTAGGGAAGTCAAGTAAATCTAAAAGTATTACGAAATGAACTTCGTAATACTTTTGGCCAGCACCACGCCCGAGCGCCTTTGTCTCCCCAGTGGGGATATTTACGCACCTTATTTGGTACTCATTTGAGGAGCCAGTGGAGGGTGGGGTGGCACGTGCCCCCCCCCCCCCCCCCCAATTATCCAATCGAAATCCCTAATTTCGATCGGATCATTGGGGTTTATTAGTAATAAATCGGCATTTTGCGACCCCCACTGCCACTGTGTAGCATGTTATTCTGTGCCAGGGACTCTATGAGATGATAGGACAATAGTATGAGTCCATAATTGGCAATAAGTAACGGCAAAGCAGTTATGAATGACTCAGAATTGTGCGCAGCTGCGTATACAGAGTACACGACTTCCCTGCAGGCATTCACCTACAGCGAGCGCGATGCCGATCACACAACGCGGTTCGAATTCGACCCTCGATCGATGGCTGCGCCATCGCCGCACACGCGTCGAATAAAAAGCAAAGGACAAGTCCTTACTTACTAACAACTCCTTACTTACTAACTACTCCTCTATCATTTTTCATTGCTGGAGGGGTTGCCCCCCGCCCCTACCTGAAAATCCTGGCTCCGCCATTGCCCACACCAATGTGGCAACAACAACCGCAATTCGCCACGAAGTGGCAGTGACGTTACCACGGCGCTTGTGCCAGGCTAGGTGCACGTTAAGGACCCGTGAAGTGCTGAACGCCCGCTGGCAGGAGGTCACGGTGCCATGGGCCGACTGACTGCGATGAGATGTGGCACACCCGCACACGCACGATATATGACCGGGAGGTCACTCACCATCACATCTACTGCATAGCAACTCCTCTCACGACGCTTCGTCTTCTCACGCTCCCTGCCCTTTGCCCTCCCGTCCAATACACTCAAACATGTTTTCCGCACGAGTCACTGTCAGTCTCCGCTTGAATTCTCAAACTTCGCCTCTCCTCCTTCAACTTCGCACCGGCTCCTTGTTAACGACACCGCTGTCTTTTTAAATACCTGACGCGGGTCGTTAAATCTCTCCGTGGCCCTGCCCTACCTCATCATCAGCTCGCCTCTCTCATCTCCCTCCATGTCCCCTCATCTCGTCCTCTTCGTTCCCAATCAACTCTCTCCCTCTCCTCCCTGTGCCCAATCCCGTTTCCAGTCCTCCCTCCTTTCACCCTCCAATGGAATCAACTTCTCCTGTACATTGGTCAGCACCACACTAGACTCAACACAGCCCATAGACTCAACACAGCCCATAGACTCAACACTGCCCATAGACTCAGCACCGCCCATAGACTCAACACTGCCCATAGACTCAACACAGCACAATACACTCAACACTGCCCATAGACTCAGCGCTGCCCATAGACTCAACACTGCCCATAGACTCAACACTGCCCATAGACTCAACACTGCCCATAGACTCAGCGCTGACCATAGACTCAACACTGCCCATAGATTCTAGATTTAAAGCTTTCGTGACTGCTAGGATCCATACTCTTTGGTTCTATTGGGTAAAGTCACGTAGGTGAAAATTAAATAACAAAAATCACGACGTTTCGGCCACAACACAAGCGGCCTTCATCAGGTGAAGGGACGAGACTGTCCTCCAGACAGCGCTGTCCTCCAGACAGTCTCGTCCCTTCACCTGATGAAGGCCGCTTGTGTTGTGGCCAAAACGTCGTGATTTTTTGTTATTTTATTTCACCTACGTGACTTTACCCAATAGAACCAAAGAGTATACTGCCCATAGACTCAACACAGCCCATAGACTCAAAAATGCCCATAGACTCAACACTGTACCATAGTAATAGGTTTTACCCTTTTAACTGGCACAAAAACTGACACCTTTTTTCAAGGCATCATGTTTGCAATAACCACAACACAAGCAGTCAAAATGCAAACAAAAGAGACAACTCTGATAATATGCACTGTCCTTAATTTGATTAGTCCACACCCGAGACGGCTTTTCTTAGAGCCTATTCTCTACTGGTCTTAGACCAGAAGACGCCAAAAGGCGTACAACTCAAAAACAGCGCACTATCAGAGTATTGAGGGCTTGGGGTGAGCATTTACATTAGGAGACCTCCTTTGCCAGTAACAAGATATAGTAATAGGTTTTACCCTTTTAACTGGCACAAAAAACTGACACCTTTATTCAAGGCATCATGTTTGCAATAACCACAACACAAGCAGTCAAAATGCAAACAAAAGAGACAACCCTGAAAATAATATGCACTGTCCTTGAATTTGATTTGTCCACACCCGAGACAGTTTTCTTAGAGCCTAGTCTCCACTGGTGTTGGACCAGAAGACGTCAAATTCAAGGACAGTGCATATTATTATCAGAGTTGTCTCTTTTGTTTGCATTTTGACTGCTTGTGTTGTGGTTATTGCAAACATGATGCCTTGAATAAAGGTGTCAGTTTTTGTGCCAGTTAAAAGGGTAAAACCTATTACTATATCTTGTTACTGGCAAAGGAGGTCTCATAATGTAAATGCTCACCCCGAGCCCTCAATACTCTGATAGTGCGCTGTTTTTTAGTTGAACGCCTTTTGGCGTCTTCTGGTCCAACACCAGTGGAGACTAGGCTCTAAGAAAAGCTGTCTCGGGTGTGGACCAATCAAAATCAAGTACAGTGCATATTATTATCAGAGTTGTCTCTTTTGTTTGCATTTTGACTGCTTGTGGTGTTATTGCAAACATGATGCCTTGAATAAAGGTGTCGGTTTTTGTGCCAGTTAAAAGGGTAAAACCTATTACTATATCTTGTTACTGGCAAAGGAGGTCTCATAATGTAAATAAACTGTACCATAGACTCAGCACTGCCCATAGACTCAACATTGCCCATAGACTCAGCACTGCCCATAGACGCAGCACTGCCCAAAGACCCAACAATGTACCATAGACTCAGCACTGCACCATAGACTCAGCACTGCCCATAGACTCAACAATGCCCATATAATCTAGATCTTAAGTTTTCTTGACTGCAGTGATCCATACTTTTTGGTTATTTCGGTAAAGTCACGTAGGTATAAAATAAAATTAATTTAAATAATCAAATAAAAATAAAATAAATCAAATCATGATGTTTCAGAAGCAACGCAAGCTTCCGTCATCAGGTGAGAAGGCCACAGCAAGAAACAAATTGCTGTAATGGGCACAAGAGCTACTTCTGACAAGAGATTATATAAGGTAAGAGGGGGGGAGGAGCCAGAGAGGAGAGATGGAGAGGGTGGGGGTGGGGGAGTGGCACTCCGCAACACTGTGCAGTTAATACTGCTGTTGGTACGACACCATGCCGGGGCTGGGCAGTGAGCGGGCCTAGGGGGGTAGAAGGCTGAAGAACCTGGTGATGCGGATATGAAAGCAAACTATAAAAAAAAATGTATGCAAACCAACACACCTGAAGACGACCGTTTGTGTTATGGTCGAAACGTGAGAATTTTTATTGTTTTATATATATTTTATTATTTTGTTGTTTCCCTTCAACGTGACTTTGCCGAAAGAACTAAGAATATATATAAAAAAGCAATTAAGATTTTATTTTACCTGGTTAATAACATCCTTCCAATGATTGCTCAATGTGAATCCATCTTCTCGGTTGAAGTTATGTCTATATATCTGGATGGCTTCATGAACAAACCTTTGATACTATCCTGACAGTTTGCAGAGTATCTTGGTCTCGGAAAAGACAATATCATGAGAGCCCACAGCGCTGTAGCAGTGATCAGCCACGGTGGAAGAATTAGTTCTGCCGTGTTTCAGATCTGCCTTGTGCTCACGAATGTGGTCCGATATATGTCG